ATTTATTCTACATTCATCCATTTAGTCTGCATTCTTCCATTTAGGCTGCACCCAGCCATTTAGTCTGCATTCATCCATTTAGCCTGCATTAATCCATTTAGTCTGCACCCAGCCATTTAGTCTGCATTTATCCATTTAGCCTGCATTCATCCATTTAGTCTGTATTCATCCTTTAAGTCTGCATTCATCCATTTATCTGCACCCAGCCATTTAGTCTGCATTCATCAATTTAGCCTCATTCATCCATTTATCTGCACCCAGCCATTTAGTCTGCATTCATCCATTTAGTCTACATCCATCCATTTAGTCTGCATTCATCCATTTAGTCTACATCCATCCATTTAGTCTGCATCCAGTCATTTAGTCTGCATTCATCCATTTAGTCTGCATTCATCCATTTAGTCTGCATCCATCCATTTAGTCTGAATCCATCCATTTAGTCTGCATTTATGCATTTAGTCTGCATTCATCCATTTAGTCTGCCTCCATACATTCAGTCTGAATCCATCCATTTAGTCTGCATTCATCCATTTAGTCTGCATCCATCCATTAAGTCTGCATTTATGCATTTAGTCTGCATTCATCCATTTAATCTGCATTCATCCATTTAGCCTGCATTTAGTCATTTAGTCTGCATTCATCCATTTAGTCTGCATTCATCCATTTAGTCTGCATTCATCCATTTAGTCTGCATTCATCGATTTAGTCTGCATCCACCCATTTAGTCTGCATTCATCCATTTAGTCTGCCTCCATACATTTAGTCTGAATCCATCCATTTAGTCTGCATCCATCCATTTAGTCTGCATTTATGCATTTAGTCTGCATTCATCCATTTAGTCTGCATCCATCCATTTAGTCTGCATCCAGCCATTTAGTCTGCATTCATCCATTTAGTCTGCATTCATCCATTTAGTCTGCATTCATCCATTTAGTCTGCATCCAGCCATTTAGTCTGCATTCATCCATTTAGTCTGCATCCATCCATTTAGTCTGCATTCATCCATTTAGTCTGCATTAAGTCATTTAGTTTGCATTCATCCATTTAGTCTGTATTCATCCATTTAGCCTGCATTTAGTCATTTAGTCTGCATTCATCCATTTAGTCTGCATCCATCCATTTAGTCTGCATTCATCCATTTAGCCTGCATTCATCCATTTAATCTGCATTCATCCATTTAATCTGCATTCATCCATTTAGCCTGCTTTAGTCATTTAGTCTGCATTCATCCATTTAGTCTGCATCCATCCATTTAGTCTGCATTCATCCATTTTGTCTGCATTCATCCATTTAGCCTGCATTTAGTCATTTAGTCTGCATTCATACATTTAGTCAGTATTCATCCGGCACATTCCCATTGACTGTTTACTTTTAACATTTTGATCTTAAAATATATTTGTATCTATTTATGTTAATGAACAAATCGTTTTATTTAGCAGGGGTTTATAGCAGGTCAAAATGCTTTTCATTGCTAAGAGCAGTCTTTAAATTCAGATTGCATATCTTTGCCCTGCTCAAATATTAAACAGTTAACCCTGTTTTGAATTATAAAAAAACAGCCCATTAGTTAATATAGGATTGAGATAGCAGAATATTACAATTAAGAAGCAACCAGTGTAGAGCCTTGTTAGACAGCATGGATGCTTAAACTTTGGGTGGAACTATATTGGTGGTGGAGGTATGTTGCTGTCAATCTTGCTTGCAAAGGCATCTTTTGTTAATCAAAATTACCATATCACAGCAAGAAATTAAAAGACATATAATAAAGCAGAAGGAAATGATTTCACATTTACTTTGCTGTATTTAGAAATGTTTGTGCATGCTTTTACAATATTGTATATTTAAGTATTGTTTGTAAGCTTGTTTTATTTGGGCTTTATGTTTGTATCTTTCTGATATTTTCTCTCTCTTTTTATAACAGTAATGGTATATCATCAAATTTTAGTATTGTATGATGCTAATGTTTTGGCTGTAATTGCCAGATAATATTAGATATATTAGTATAGGATGTTCTGTGTGATATTCTTACCAGTTGTTTAACCCTCTGTGTGATATTCTCACCAGTTGTTTAACCCTCTGTGTGATTTTCTCACCAGTTGTTTAACCCTCCATGTGATATTCTCACCAGTTGTTTAACCCTCTGTGTGATATTCTCACCAGTTGTTTAACCCTCTGTGTGATATTTTCACCAGTTGTTTAACCCTCTGTGTGATATTCTCACCAGTTGTTTAACCCTTTGTATGATATTCTCACTAGTTGTTTAACCCTCTGTGTGATATTCTCACCAGTTGTTTAACCCTCTGTGTGATATTCTCACCAGTTGTTTAACCCTCTGTGTGATATTCTCACCAGTTGTTTAACCCTCTGTGTGATATTCTCAGCAAGTTGTTTAACCCTCTGTGTGTTATTCTTACCAGTTGTTTAACCTTCTGTGTGATATTCTCACCAGTTGTTTAACCCTCTGTGTGATATTCTCACCAGTTGTTTAACCCTCTGTGAGATATTCTCACCAGTTGTCTAACCCTCCATGTGATATTCTCGCCAGTAGTTTAACCCTCTTTGTGATATTCTCACCAGATGTTTAACCCTCTGTATGATATTCTTTCCAGTTGTTTAACCCTCTGTGTGATATTCTCACCAGTTGTTTTACCCTCAGTATGATATTCTCACCAGTTGTTTAACCCTCTGTGTGATATTCTCACCAGTTGTTTAACCCTCTGTATGATATTCTCACCAGTTGTTTAACCCTCTGTGTGATATTCTCACCAGTTGTTTAACCCTCTGTGAGATATTCTCACCAGTTGTTTAACCCTCTGTGTGATATTCTCACCAGTTGTTTAACCCTCTGTATGATATTCTCACCAGTTGTTTAACCCTCTGTGTGATACTTTCACCAGTTGTTTAACCCTCTGTAAGATATTCTCACCAGTTGTTTCATCCTCTGTGTGATATTATCACCAGTTGTTTCACCCTCTGTGTGATATTATCACCAGTTGTTTAACCCTCTGTGTGATATTCTCACCAGTTGTTTAACCCTCTGTGTGATATTCTCACCAGTTGTTTAACCCTCTGTGTGATATTCCCACCAGTTGTTTAACCCTCTGTGTGATATTCTCACCAGTTGTTTAACCCTATGTGTGATATTCTCACCAGTTGTTTAACCCTCTGTGTGATATTCTCACCAGTTGTTTAACCCTCTGTGTGATATTCTCACCAGTTGTTTAACCCTCTGTATGATATTCTCACCAGTTGTTTAACCCTCTGTATGATATTCTAACCAGTTGTTTAACCCTATGTATGATATTCTCACCAGTTGTTTAACCCTCTGTATGATATTCTCACCAGTTGTTTAACCCTCTGTGTGATATTCCCACCAGTTGTTTAACCCTCTGTGTGATATTCTCACCAGTTGTTTTATCCTTTGTGTGATATTCTCACCAGTTGTTTAACCCTCTGTTGTGATATTTTCACCTAGTTGTTTAACCCTCTGTGTGATATTCTCACCAGTTGTTTAACCCTCTGTATGATATTCTCACCAGTTGTTTAACTCTTTGTGTCATATTCCCACTAGTTGTTTAGCCCTCTCTATGATATTCTCACCAGTTGTTTAACCCTCTGTGTGATATTCTCACCAGTTGTTTTACCCTTTGTGTGATATTCCTACCAGTTGTTTAACCCTCTGTGTTATGTATAATATATCATAAATATATTTTTTAGTTGCTTTTCAGAATTAACTTCTTTAGTAGGAAATGATTTTTAATTATTGTATTTGAATGACCTATAGATATTGTATTTATTTTGTATATGTGTTGGATCAGGGCTTCAATAACTATTGCTCTTTAGGTTTTTGCTCTTCCTATGCTTAATTTATCACACACCCGTGCTGATTTTGTGACTCCGTACATATGGTTTTGCAAGGCCGTGCATATATTTTGATGTGACATCATTAGCGTTATACAAACATAGTGTAAAGACGCGCAAAATGTTAGCGTTATACTGTAGGCATGTCAATGAAAAATGACACTTATTTCACTTTAAACGGTCTTTATTTTGGGTATGTGATAAATAGAATATTAAATTTGTGTAAGTTCATTACTGAAATTATTGCACTCGTTCAATAAAATAATATTATGCTCGCCAGAGGCTCCCATAATGTAATTTTATTCAACTCTTGCAATGAATTCAGTATTGAACTTACACTCATTCAATATCCTCTCTATCTTAAATGCACTTGTCCATACAAAATCATTCATAATTTATAGGGAAAGTTTCAAAATATATATTGATGAGTAGCAAACAGTGCAGACCATGTGCAGTGCAGACAGCTTGCTCAGATCTTAGTCTGCGCTGATCACATGGTCTAAGAATATGTTACCACCAGCAGGATATTATAGTTTAAATATAGAAGCCCTTATGTCCAACAGTGTTACGTAGCATCCAGTAATGTAAATTGACTTATTAGTTAATACTAATTTTAGCATTGAAAGATATTATTTTTTAGTATCGAGTGATGTGATACCTTATTTTATGAAACTTTTTAGTATGAAGTGATTTGATACCTTATTTTATGAAACTATTTTTAGTATGAAGTGATTTGATACCTTATTTATGATACTATGTTTAGTGTGAAGTGATTTGGTACGTTATTTATGAAACTATTTTTAGTATGAAGTGATTTGGTACCTTATTTTATGAAACTATTTTTAATATGAGGTGATTTGGTACCTTATTTTATAATACTATTTTTAGTATGAGGTGATTTGGTACCTTATTTATGATACTATTTTTAGCATAAAGATTTTTAGTTTCCAATCTGTACATAACTGTTAACAATACTTATTTAAGCGTCGATAATCCTGTAACATGTGTATGATTCTATTTTAGTATCAAGAGATTTTAATCCTTATTTATAATTCTATTTTTACCATGAAATCATTTTGTTTCTTAGAAATGATGCTATTTTTAGGATCAGGATTACTACTTCTATTTTTGGTATTGGTAGATTTTGGTTCACTAATCTATGATACTATTTTTAGCATCCAGTGATATGGCAGCCCTCAGCAGACGGCCATCACTGGATTGGTCATATGATATTGAAGAAAGCAGTATTAGACGGCTCGGGAAAACCAAGTGACTCCAGTGTGCTAGGTAGGTCCTTAAAGTAGCAAGCCTCCAGATTCATCCTAATTTTCATGAAAATTTTGAAAATGTATTTAAAGGTAAAATATTGTGAACTGAACAAAGAAAGTACTTGACACATTACAATCGGCACTTAAAATCCACAAAATTACCAAAAAAGAGGTCAAAATATGCATAAATAGCCCCTACTGCGTTAGTAACGCAGTAGAATTATGGTGATAAATACTACAAAATACAGTCATTAATTGCACATAAGATATAAATTATTACTTGAATCTTTAGTTTGTTTACATTTCTCAAAGTTTTTGTATGTTTTTTCCAAGTTTAATTTTCTTGAAATATTTTGGGTCATCTGGAGGCATGCAGCTTTAATGAAAGTTTTGTTTTACAGTATAGAATTATTTGATAACATACATGTGCGGCTTTTGCGACTCCGTAAAAAACAGTATTGCATGGGCGTGCATGTGTTTCGACTTGATGCTCTGATATGAGGGTTTAACACTACAAGTGTCATTGAATATCCTGCTATCGATATAAATTAGTTAATCGTATTCAGAAATCAGTACAATATCGATTCGATTCACAATAAAAAATATTGATACAATTAAAATCACATTCTTTCATGTTTATTGGAAATATTTGTCTATTTGTGTAAAGGGAAAAGCCGCTTTTCTTCCTTACTTTGAACACTGAATTTAATTTTCAGATGTATGTAAGATAAAAAAAACCAAGATAACATACTTTTTTTGGGTAGCTTGCAATAATAACACCAAGATGAGTTTAATTTACACATATTCAAATAGTTTCCACTGTACAAGCAAAATTTAAAGATCCTGTAACTCATTTTTTTTTATGGTTTTATATCATAAAGTTAATGCTCAAAAGAAGATTTATCAATATTGTAAGTTCCAAAAATCATTATTATGTCTCCCCCACCTCGGGGGGAGACATATTGTTTTTGCCCTGTCCGTCCGTCAGTCCGTCCGTCCGTCCGTCAGTCCGTCCGTCAGTCCGTCCGTCCATTCTTCGTTTCCGGACGATAACTAGAGTTCCTTTTGACCTACAGCTCTCAAACTTCATAGGATGAATGGTCTTATTGAGCAGATGATCCCTATTGTTTTTGGGGTCAGTAGTTCAAAGGTCAAGGTCACAGTGACCGTTGGTCAATTTCTCGTTTCCGGATGATAACTAGAGTTCCTTTTGACCTACAGCCCTCAAACTTCATTGGATGATTGGTCTTATAGAGCTGATGATCCCTATTGTTTTTGGGGTCAGTAGGTCAAAGGTCAAGGTCACACTGACCGTTGGTCAATTTCTCGTTTCCGGATGATAACTAGAGTTCCTTTAGACCTACAGACCTCAAACTTCATAGGATGATTGGTCTTATTGAGCAGATGATCCCTATTGTTTTTTGGGGTCAGTAGTTCAAAGGTCAAGGTCACAGTGACCGTTGGTCAATTTCTTGTTTCCGGATGATAACTAGAGTTCCTTTTGACCTACAGCCCTCAAACTTCATAGGATGATTGGTCTTATAGAGCAGATGATCCCTATTGTTTTTGGGTCAGTAGGTCAAAGGTCAAGGTCACAGTGACCGTTGGTCAATTTCTCATTTCCGGATGATAACTAGAGCTCCTTTTGACCTACAACCCTCAAACTTCATAGGATGATTGGTCTTATTAATCAAATGATCCCTATTGTTTTAATGGTCAGTAGGTCAAAGGTCAAGGTCACAGCGACCGTTGGTTAATTTCTCCTTTCCGGATGATAACTAGAGTTCCTTTAGACCTACAACCCTCAAACTTTCATAGGATGATTGGTCTTATTGAGCAGATGATCCCTCTTGTTTATGGGGTCAGTAGGTCAAAGGTTAAGGTCACAGTGACCATTGGTCATTTTCTCATTTCCGGATGATAACTAGAGTTCTTATCAGTGAGGACATTTAACTATTATTGATATATCAGTGATATATCAGTTGTCTGGTTTTATATACTCTGTTCTTTTATCTCCATTTCCATTCCTGTTTCCATTCACAGTTATTCTCAGCAGTGGGGGAGACATGCGCTTTTTTACAAAAGCATCCTCTAGTTTGTAAAGATATTATCGAATTTACATTTCATTTCAGTAAAGGGAGGTAATTATTTTCCATAAAGTCTTAAGTCAAATTTTTCAATAAGAAATGAATGCATAGATTTTAATGATTACATATTATAAATATGTACAAATATTTGCAGTACATATTTTACATATTCTTCAATGTTTGAAAATTGTTTTAGAAGCATAATTATATACATATATAAAATTTCAGTTAAGTGTGGTAACAATCTTTAATAACAACATTCATGATCTTTAATTTGATATATCATTGATATTTGGCTTGTGATATATAAATACAAAATTTCCCTTTATGACATCCATTAAAAGCTTACTAGCGAAAAAAGTGATTCTTTTTTACTGTAAACCAGTTTTTGATTTATGCAGCCACTGTCCATTATCTTCCAATTTCAAGCTGCTAATTGTTTATATGAAAATAGCATGTATCAGTATTTTAGATGTATCTTTGTAGACTTGCAATCCATCACATATATTTTACCACATAAACATTATTAATATTTCCATTGATAATTAAGCAGTATTGTCCGCATGTTTTATTATGATAGCCTTGATTGAATACAATGATGTAGAACAAATTCTGTGCATACATTGAATGATACTGTTTTGTAAAGGTGAATAAATTTTGAAAATGACATCATGATTTTGACAGCATTTTTGTGTAAAATTTAATCGGAAGTAGCAGATTATCACAGGCAGTATTTATTATGGTGATATTGTAAATATTTAAATTATTATTATGGTGATATTTCATTTATTGTTATTATCTTATCTTATAGATTTAAAATTCATAACAAAAATTAATCCAAAAAGTTCAAGTATTTTAGGTTAACAATTTAAGACTTATGAACATTCCAGTTACCGGTACTTGATATAATGATAAATGATCTTTTTAATGGTATTGTAATTTTAATGAACAAAATTTGAAGCAGTCATTTGTTAGCAGCCACCCTCTTTAAAAAAAATACCCGATTTTAAAAAATGACTACGTCCCCAGGTGATGTCAAATAGAAACATTACAGTATGTGAAGTTTCACAAGTTATAACATGTTATAGGCCAGTTATTTATATTGATAGGTTTGAAAATTGTTGGCGGTCGTATGACTGATGCCGGAAGTTATGCTGCCTACATCACCAAAGTGAAAAAAGGTTCAATAGCAGATACCGTCGGTCATTTACGAGCAGGTACGTTACGATGTATTTTAACGCAACATGCATTTTTCCCTTTTGAACATAGAAGGACTGAAAGTGTTTGTACATTAGGAAATAGATATCAATTCTGAGTGCATTGTTGTAGAATAATGCATGGTTTGAGTTCAAATGTGTAGTAATATTATCATGAAGGCCAATAGGCTTGAGTGATTAATTACAAAGCATTTGAACGAAAAAAACGTGCATTATTACACTATAATGCGCAAATTAAGACCTGTGGGTAATCATAAAAATTGCAATGCGCTGAAAATAAGTACGGAAACAAAACAGGCACATTTTAGCTTGATATCAGGTACGGCAGCATTTATTTGTTAATGTTGTGTTAGAATGGAAATAATATATCACAAGCAGTGATTTAATCGCTTTATAAAATCACTGTTGGGTATATTTTACTTCTTGGTTTAGATTATTGGTCTATGAGTAACTTTTTGTTTGCTCATAATATAGAAAAACACCAAAATTTAAAAAAAATTGAAAAACAAATAAAAGCATTTCTTAGGCATAATGTGCCTTTAATGAATTTTACAGAAGGTACAATATTAGGGAAATAACAGGAATGTGTAAACTTTATTGTGTTGAAGTTATATTCAATACATATATACAAAATATGCTATGATTTGTTATAGAGTATTGATCCTTTTCTATCGATACTTCTGAATAATTCACATTCCGAATAAAAAGAGAGCTATGAAAATACATAGACAATGAAGGGGGCTTATAAGTAAATGCTGTGAATTGCAGGTTAAATATTTAGCATTTAACATCAGATAACAATGCAAAATTCATTCAATAAAATAATATTATGCTCACCAGCTCAGGCTCGCATTATATATTTTTATTCAACTTGTTCAAAAAATTCAGTATTAAACTTACACTGAATCAATATCTTCTATTGAATGGTTGGTTTGACTGGTTTTATATATGTTATATCACACAGGTGATGAAGTTATTGAATGGAATGGCCGTTCCTTACAAGGTGCAACATTTGAGGAGGTGTGTGACATTGTCTTAGAATCAAAACAAGAACCACAAGTTGAGCTGATTGTTCATAGGAGTAAAAGGTATGAAAACATTTCAACGTTCGGTGTTGATTAGGGGTGCCACCTTGGTTAGAAATAATGATAATAGATTAAACTTGACCTTAGAATCGTGCTTAGGGATTGAAATTTTCTTTTAGAGCCACTAGTCCTGCTCAGAACAAGTAGCTTCAAATTCCTACTCCTCCTTCATGGTATGCTTCTCGTCCTGCATTTTAATAAAAAAAATAAATCTCCCCCGATGCCATAGAACCTCATAGATGCAATCGACTTATAGAAATTTTCATAATCAGTTTTTTTACACAAATAAACCAAAACAGGAAACAAAGTTTGTGTTCTAGGTTATGTATAAATCATTCACTTTATAGAGCATTGCCGGGCAGTGCGCTTAAACATTAACTTTTTTTCTTCATGACAAGATATGACATTTTGTTCATATTTTGTTGTACTCAAAATATTATAATACATATCCAATATAAAGTAACTATTTTCCGTCATACCGTACTCAATTATATCGGAAAAAATGCATTGTTAAGTAAAACTAAAATACAAACATATTGTCTTATCTTGTTATTAAACACTATTTAAGGTCATATTTAGAATCAATTTAAAACTTTTTCACCTCTTTGTCAATAACTAACTTCGGTTATCAGTTATTGAATTTTCTAACCAGTTTTCAGCTAAAAACCAACAATACCCATTTAAACAAATAAATGTGACACCCCTAGTGTTGATCATAGACATACCTTGTAAAATTAACAGAAATGTGCCAGAGTTTCTTACATAATATTATGCATATTGATGCTTCATTAAGAGAAGACCTCATTGTCAATAATAGGAACAAGACATAAGTTTTAACAGGGTGATCGTCAAAGGTCAAGTGGTTAAAAGTTATTAATTTCAAACCACTTGTTCCTTCCTCACGGTTGTTTGTTTGAATCAAGCCATGGACTTTGGATTCTTTCATGTGAGGAAGCTTAGACAAGCAAGCTTATGGAACGTCAGTGGTTCTACTCGGGTACCGACATGTGCCTGAAATATTGCACAAAGAGGCACCTGAGGTCTTCCTCCTTTAGTAAAGCCCGAAAGTTGCTAAATGAGATCTAATGTGTTGGTGCAACTTAAAACACACACACAAAAAAAACCCAAAACCAAACAAACAAAAAAACACCAAAAATTAGTACTTGAATTATTGAGATCACCATGTATATTTTAACACTATTGTAATTTTTTTTTTCGCTCAAGGCAATAATGGCTTGCCCAAGTCAGGGTTTGAACCCAGAAATCCTTAATTAACTTTAATAATGTTCTTAATTTACAGTTCTACATTAATTAATGAAAACAACAACCAAAAAATTGTTTAGATTGGAGACTTAACCATGTCTTGGCCACCCGAGACATTAATAATTGGTCCTCGCCTCATTTCAGACGCTTATTCTGATAAATAATTGAAATGTGGGAGCCGCATTTAAGTGTAGACCCGAATGTAACTATCGCATAAAAAAACCTTATATTTATGACTTAATAAATATTTGATCATGTTTTAAAACTTCACTTTTGCTGAAATAGAGGATATTGAATGAGTGTAAGTTCAATACTGAATTTATTGCACGAGTTGAATAAAATTATATTATGCGAGCCTCTGGCGAGCATAATATTATTTTATTCAACGAGTACAATAAATTCAGTAATGAACTTACACGAATTTAATATTCTATTTATCACATACCAAAAATAAAGACCGTTTAAGGTGAAATAACAGTTATATTTCATTGACGCGCCTATAGTATAACGCTAACATTTAGCGCGTCTTGTACACTATGTTTGTATAACGCTAATGACGTCACGTCAAAATATATGCACGGCCGTGCAATACCATATTTACGGAGTCGCAAAATCGGCACGGGTG